ATTATGGCTTGCCAATTAGTAGCCTGGTCATACTGGTATCCAGCCTATATGGAGAGCTTCTCTTAGAGGGCTTCTTGGGGTCTAAGGTGAAGCCATAATGGTACCCATTTCTTGAAACCAGCAAACCCTGGGAGCCTCTAAAATAACTGGTACAAAGGCTGGGCTCGGAGAACTAAGCTGTAATATGGCTTCTGGATTCTGGGTTAGCGCAGTGAGCAAATCTAACTGATTGTTGTGAGGTCAGCAAACTAGTTTTAACATCAGGTGTGAACCAGTTCAAACTCTTCAGCCATGCCTTCTCTTGCGGTTGTAGAGGTGGCTCTCTGGTTTGTCACGGGGATGTGATATTCCAGCGTCCAGCTCCAAGCAACAAGGATGTCCTACAGACCCTGGCATTCTCGGTTGGCCCAAAGGGTTACCTGGATTCATCAAGCTTTCAAGTGGATCCATTCTCCTTTACTGTCGCAGGTGGGATTCAGTTTGGACCTCTTGGCATAGGAGGAAGCACCAAGTGTCCTGTAAACACACTTTGGGCTACAGCTCTCATTTGTTCAAGCCTGCTGAATCTGGCTTCCTAGGAAAATGTCTGGTGGTTTTGCTTCCAAACAACTAAAAGGCTAGAAGAGGGGAAGGAGAATCTGCAGATCTTCATGAGTTTCAACTTTCTGGCTTTGCTTGCCACTGGAGCTGCTGGGAATTCTAGCCTGGCAACATTGGGAAGGCTCTTTAATCCTGTCTGGGATAATGTGGCATGAACTAAAGTTTGCCACAGGCATGTGACCTGATTTATCTCTTTTTAATTTCTTAGGTGCTGGGCTGGAGCCTTCCTTGAAAAAATCAGGTGTTCCTGGCTATGCTGTAGCCCTCATCATCTTGTGTCTCCTCGCTTTAATTGCTGTCCCCATCTTCATTTGGCTGGTAAGACTGAAGTTTGGATGTGCTATGATGAACTAATGCCTTGACTCAGTTTATATTTTAGGGTTATGCCCCAGACACCGGAGTCTCCAGAAGGAGGCCACTCTCGTCTAACACGGTCCCTTGTCCCCCTGAATTTATTTCTATGAGGTTCTTTCAATGAAAAGAAATACATGGGCTGTTGGCCTGTTGCAAACTGAAGAACCAGTTTTTAGCATCATGGTTTATTTCAGGGACTTCTGTAGAGGGGGTTCAACAGTTTCAAAATGGTGGGTACCCTTGGGAGGGGAAAACAGAAAGAACATTTCTTTCCATCTCAGAATCATTGTCCTTGCTGGACACAATCGCTACAGGAGGCAATGGCATAGAGTACAGTTGTATAGGTTCATTGAATCAAAGCTTGAATACAGTTTAATACATTTCTCAGTTCTAACACAACTAGAGGTACATATTGCTGATCAACAGGACTTTCCCAATGAATGTAAATTAGTCAGTAGATACAGTTACCAAAAGTTGTCTTGTAGCTCCTTGATTCCAGAAAGATTCCCTTGTATGGGAAAGAAAGTGAAAGAAGTTGTAGGCAAAAACTAGTAAGCTGTAGAATAGAGCTGCTCTTCCACACTATGCTACATGCACAACCTTACTTCTCACACCTTTCCCAGTTTACACAAAGAGTTCCTCTGGTCTCTTGTTTTATAGTCTAAAAGTGCTGGGCTGGTTTTCATCAACATTCTCATGGAATATTGTTACAATTTAGAAGAGAATTTGGGGAGAGATACAGCCTTGACCATCAGTCATACCTTGATCTCCTGGTCTTTGGCACATTAGTTTACTCTAACATGTTGTTGCATTTCCATACACCCCTGTGCTCAAATGGACCGTACGTATTTCATTAGACAGTATTTATCATATAGTTCATTAAGCCCATGATTCATTATGATCACTAGGAAATGTCATTTGTAGGGCTGGTCTGCTGAGAGGTTGCATCCTGTTCAAATATGGATGTTCTTTGGTTCAGCCAGCCCTTATAAAGGGTACTTTATATCCAAAGTACCCTTTCAATAAATATGACCCGGTATCGTGTGTGCATTGCATGCATGTAAAAAGGGGTAGGAGTTCAACCACTCAATTTCCCCTGCCGCTTTGATTTTCTTGAACTCCTCTGTGGACACCTCTGGCTTATTTCTATGTGGATCCTGCAGGCAAGTAGAGATGATTAACGGCTGCAGTCCAAGGCTTTGAAAGAAAGGAAAGACAAAGAAAAGCTGAAGTGGTGAGGATCATGCTAGAGGTTCCAGAAAAGGGTGGTGGGGAGCAATTGTTTGGTCTAACTTCTAGAAAGTTCTGTTTTGTGACCAGCCAAGTCCTTAAGGCAGCCATTTTGCAAATGCATCTGTAGCATGCTTTCAGAAAACCAAAAGGTGTCTACCTTGTTACAACCCACATCTTGCTTTATTCTTTCTTTTTTTAAGCCAAAAGCGCTTGGCCGGCGAGACAAGATTACAATTAACGGAGCGCGTGATATTGAAGTAGATGTAGAGGCATTTGAGCTGGATAATCCAGGATACCATGCGACTATTGAAGAGGTAGATTTGGAATGTGGGAATTCCCTGCAAGGAGGCCCTTGAGGAAAAATCTAGTGAGATATCAAGTCCAGTGGGGTAGTTTGGTTAAGACTTTACGGTGAACTTCTCGAGTGTAATCGGGATCGGTGGCAGCTATGGCCTTCTTCTAAGGACAAACCAGTTCCCATGCATCACAAGATCTGATGTTTGAATTGATCTGTGTACTCAGAATCTGAAGATATTGTCTGAAGCTGTGGGCTATTTAATTTTGGCAGGCAGGTGACACTACCTGTCAAATTTCCAAAAGTGGTGGTTACTAGTACCAAAGTAAATAGAAATCCGGCCTTTTCTGACTAGCTACGTCAACACTACTGGTGGAGAAACTAGATCGGCCAGTGGGTGAGTGGGGATACAGAAACCTGAGATTTTCTTTCTCCTCCTTGCCCTCTTTTGCAAGGTGAACCTTCTGATTGGGCTTGCCCATAATGCTAAGATGTAGTTTGTTTAATTAAGTCCCAGTTGGCTGGATTCACATACTGCATTAAGCCATTAATCATAGTTTACAAACCATACTGGCTGGTTTCTCTAGTTATAGATTTCTGCATTGGGCAGGAAGTTGAACTAGATGATTTCCAAGACTTCTGACCCTTACATTTTTGGTTCACTCAATGCACTTAGCGAAAATATGACAGCTTAGGGCAGTGTGTGAACCCAGAGCCAAGGCTGAATATTGAGCAAACTTTGGGCAGCTGATGGACCAGCCTATGTTGGTCCAAAGTATAAGATCTGCCCTTGAAATCCCTTTCCCAAAAACATCTCTGCCAATTAATCAAGTGGGACAATTGGTTTTACTCCTAGGACTATTTATGGAGATGCTAACTAGTTCTCCTTTAACCCATAGGAAGAGAGCAACCATTCCTGCGTTCTCATGGAAGCCATTGGCTAAAGGGATGATGATCTTCCCATGAAGAGGAGCCATTTTAGTCCATCCTGAGTTAAGGCCCTTATCAACAATGGTGACTCCTGAAGGGCCCAAAGTATTGAATTGCCAACAGTGACTTCCAAATATGTAGGGTTACTCCTACAGATCTCAAAGCAAAGTGAATCTTCCTGCATCTTCAGCAAGATTGGAAGGATACCGGAATGTCTGAACCGGAACAAAAACATAGCCGTTCCTCTTTGTCAATGCCACGATTCATAACTGGACAATTTATTAAATTGGAATTTGAGTTTTATTACATGGAAAAACAAACTCTCTGAAACCAGACATGTCAAAGGCAGCTGGCTCTGTTCTGTTATGAGCTTTTAAGGAAGGGCAGTTTGGATGCAGAACTCATGCAGGCTGGCCAAAGTTTCTACCATTCTTCTGCATCCGTGGCTAGATGTCCACACGCAGATGTTTTCTCCAAAAGTAGCATCACAGCTTCTTTTATTATACTAAGTTGGATCTTTTAAACGATGTCTTTAAAGTATTTCTTACTATCTTTGCACCAAAGAGAATGAAACTATTCTGTTTTTCTAATTTTTCAGATGTAAAAGTTCAGTGTTGGGGGGCGGGAAACTCTGGTTAGTTAGATTTTGAATTTTCTTTAAGGTGGGGAAAGCCTTGGAGTAGGAAAAAAATGGCTTTTGGTTTAAATACCTGATGGTTACATTTCAACACCTACAAATCTGGAAGCTGTGAAAACATTACCCTTCCAGGAATCTGAAGGAACTTGGCACTGCAGCTTTTTTTATTTTTTAAAACACATTATATTCATAGCCTGTGCAAACCAGGAAAAATGCAATTTGAAGGATTGGCTGGATTTGAAAAATCGATTGGATGATTCAGATCAGTTCAGGACAACTGATCCAAATGTCCAAACTGATGGAGAAAAGACAATTTCTGTGCTCAAACCAAAATACCCTGGCAGTTACTCAATTCAGCTCTCCAGTAAGGTTGATTCAATGCACAGATTGAATTGGATTGACTCCAAATTAAATCTTTGCAGAACCAGAGTATGCACGTACCAGCTCCTTGCTGCTATTCTGAGCTGAATTGGGGTCTTTCTGCCTCTTTTTTGCTTCCTAAGATAACACCAGCACGAAATCAACACTAGTCTTCCAACCAAAGCTCGATTCTCCAAAGTTGCTTTTCAGGATTGTTTGGAATTCCGAAACCTTTACTGTATGTCCAGCGCACTCTTTAAGAAGCAAGCAAACCAGAATTGTAGATGAACCAACTAAGGCAAAGTGGATCTTTTGCTTAAATTTATTATTGTGATGATGTAGAGAACCAGTAACTTTAATTCTTCCTTTCGTTTTATTGCTGGCTTGGCAATCGTCCTAGCTTAATTGCCTTATTCTGTTACATAGCTTTCCAGATGTTGTTAACATCTACATCCCCCATCAGTCCCAGGAAGGATGGGAGTTGCAGTCTAAACATTCCTGAAGTTTCACCCGTTGCCTGTCACAGCTGCATCCCTTCTGCAGTTTTCGGAAAGGTGAAATATCCACTTTGTTGAGTTGCCGTTCAAGACAGAAGCTGCCACTTTTAATGGCTGAATTTGGCTTTTTTCCCTGGCACTTGGCTCTGTCCTAAGTTCCTTGGTCTCACCATCTGGTGGACTTTATTGTTTGTTTTAATAGCAAGCAAGTCAAACCGGCTTGCTGAATTGACCGACTTCTTTCAGGCTGATGGCCACCAATTCAAAATCTTCGGTTGTATTAAAATCTAGTTCTGAATAAATTGTAAGAAATTACTTTCCTTCAGAATGCGCTTTATTGGGGGATCTGGATGTGTCTTGAGAAAGATATCTGCCTGAAATCCTGGGAAGTTAACTATGGTTTCTTGAATAAACCACAATTGGCAGGGCTCGCACAAATATGCTAAATCAGAAAAACAGACCGTATTCTGTGGTTGGGTTCACATGTTATGCTAAACCAAAATGTGGTATATTTGGTTTTGGTTCAGTTGTGGATCTATGTTTTGGTGTGAACTTATAACCAAATGGCTATTTAGACCAATGTTTTTCAACCTTGGTCACTTTAAGATGTGTGGACTTCAACTCCCAGGATTCCCCAACCAGCATGGCTAGCTGGGGAATTCTGGGAGTTGAAGTCCACCCGTCTTAAAGTTGCCAAGGTCAAGAAACACTGATTTAGACTGATACAAGGCAACCATGTTAACACACAGCTCACATAATTGGTAACCACTGAAAGCCCCAAAACCTCATAAGTGGCAAAAAATTCCCATGAGATCAAACAGAACAAAAAACCCCATTCAGGACAGATAATCTTAAGTTTGAGTGATACCTTGGAGAAAGTTAACAATGTTTTTATTGAAACCTAGGTATATAAACCTTATGCTTTATCTTACTAATTGGACAGTGAGAATGTTAATTACACGTTGAACCTTGAATAATACTCTTATTCCTTAAATAAACTTCTAAAAAAATCTCAGAGGGGTTTATTTCACATTCTCTATATAGAATTCGTTCCACTATGCTCACTACCTTGTTTGTCACTGGTTACCTTGAACTTTGAATTCATTTCCCCGATAGAACCAGTTTACTTAAAGGTTTGATTCTCTGGAGCTTCAGAGACCTCCTTTATCACATATTTTAATGGCTTAGGCTTTGCTTTAAAGTTTTCCGCTTTCATGAGAGGAGAATGACCGCTATAGGCCTCATTTGCCTCCATTGGGCATGCTGAGATGACCTTGGTTGATTGCAAAAGGCTAAGCAAAGATCTGGTTAGTAGGGAGATGGGAAACCCTCTGGCAAGCTGACTTAGACTAGACTCGAAGGTTTTAAAAGAATCAAAGCAGTGGCAAACATTTCTTTAGAATTGCCAGGAAGACCAAGTTAGTCACCAGGAGTCAAGTTCAACTTGAAGACCTGACCTACTTGAAGGCTCCAGGTTTTCTGCCTCAAAAGGGTTGGGAAACCACAATGTTACCTTGCTGCAAATGAGTGTTTAGGGCAATGTTTATCAACCTTATCAATTTTAAGGCATGTGGACTTCAACTCCCAGAATTCCCCAGCTAGCATGCTGGCTGAGGAATCCTGAGAGTTGAAGTCCACAGAACCTGAAGTTGCTGAGGTTGAGAAATTTAGTTTAGGGGCAATTTGCAGCTCGATGACTCCCCACCCACCCATTGCATACTCCTATAAGCCATAGTCTACATAATCCAAGTATAAGATGGCTCAGTGCAACGTGTGAACCAAGCCCCATCATGGGTCAAGCAACATACGCCTCTGCATCTACGTATTCATATAAGAGTCAGTGGAAGGACCTTCCCAGGCTTAAAGGGCCATCTTGAGAGACTTGCTATACAAAACCTCCACCAGGCTGGAAAATGTGTCAGAATCCTTGCAATCAATCGCTTGCTTGCTTCGTTTCTGCCATTACAGCAATGGGGAGGAAGGGAGGGAAGGTTGGAAGGTTAACCATTAGGCACAGATGGACCATTATCTGGCTCTCAGGAATGCCCAAGGTCGTACCAACGTGAGAACCAGAGAGAAAATCTTCGACATGCGCAAGAGAGATTCAAAGAAGGGGTGTGTGTGTGAAACAGGAGTGAGAGAAAACTAAGTTTTGGCACGCCCAGGACTCAGTTCCAGCAATGCTCTAGAGCTGTGTGCTACTTTCCAATAAATGAACTTTCCTTTGAACCTGCCTTGGTTTCAATGAGAGTTGCTTTCGTTGGGAACTGAGTCCCACGGTTCTTACAAAACGTTTTAATGAGCTGAGTCCGTCGGATTGTCCATCCTCACTTGGTTCGGTTCTTCCTCCCCCAAGATCTACTGACTTGCCACTTTAAAGTCACAGTGGCTGATTTTTTGGACCTGCTGAAATGAAGGCTGCTCTTTTGAGGAAGGGACGCATAAATGGCTAGTATAGCGTAAGGGAGCATTGTAGGAGGTAGAGGAAAGACACCAGCTTTTGAAAAAGCCATTTTCTTTCTTTCCTGGAACTGGTCCCCCATCGGTGGTATTGGAGCTGTCTGCAGCTGTGGTGGGGCCGAAAAAACATCTCTGCTGGAAAGGGTCAGGAGAGGGTTTGAGGTTGAGCTTGGAAAGGATCAGCTCTGGAACTGGGGCTACTTGGTTGACCTCAGGATTGTTATGGATTGTGTCCTTTGCCCTGGAGTGGAATCTATCAAAGGACTAAACAAACCAGAATAAAGCCAGTTGTGGAGTTATCAATTTTGTAGGTAACCCATCCATAGGAAAAACAGAGGCTGTGTTGCAATTGGGCCACTTTTACGGAAGAGTTTTCGTTCCACCTTTTGAAAGACCAAAGGAACCCAGGGTATAACGAGTTATAGAAACAATGTAGGGCTTACAGTCTCATGGTTGGGCCCTTGCACTGAATTGGGTCGTAGGTCCAGCTTTGATCTTGAAGGGATCAATAACTAAATTGGCAATATCTAAATTGGCAATGTTAGCTTCATTGCTTCAGAGCATGCACAGAGTTCTTTATAGCCAAGCTTCAATACTAACGGCACTTAGCGAAATTGCAAGAGGAAACAACTAACCACAGATGAACTAGCTCAGATAATAGGGAAAACTCCTCCCCAAATTAAGTCTGCGGCCTGATAAGGGGAAGGAGGACCCAGAACAAGGGTCTGCAGGGACTGATCAGGTATAAGAGTTAGGGGGAATAGAATTAATGTAAGCAAACAAGGGCGGGGAATAATGTATTCTGCTTAAGTTTCTTTGACTGGCTGTATAACTCATCTTCATTATAATGGTGGGAATAGAATTAATGTAAGCAAACAAGGGCGGGGAATAATGTATTCTGCTTAAGTTTCTTTGACTGGCTGTATAACTCATCTTCATTATAATGGTGGGAATAGAATTAATGTAAGCAAACAAGGGCGGGGAATAATGTATTCTGCTTAAGTTTCTTTGACTGGCTGTATAACTCATCTTCATTATAATGGTGATAAGTTCTGCCCTTTTAAAATACTATAAGAGGCTGTGTTTTTGTCTCCAAGTATGTGCCACCCTGCTCTCTCTTAGTGCATGGTGTGGGCACCCAGACTTTTGCTTGGCCAGATAAAACGCTGCTTA